ATCCAAAAATTCAAACATATATCAATTCTAAAGTCTTCTTCGACTTTATACTTCTAACCTCACTGCCTGAACTAAAAAAAAGAACAAAATTGAATCTTGACCTCTTCAAATCTAGAATTAGCTATTTTTCCTGCTATCATGCTCTTTCTTACGCTAATTCAACACAGTAAACCTCTACCTTGATTGACTCTTGAGCCTTGTATTGGATGGACGTTAGTAAAAAAATGACTCCTGACTAGTGGATGCAATCTACAAGAAACTCAGAGACGGGTAGATAAGATAACATTTAATTTTACTTATTACTATTAATGCTCTGTATCTTGATATCGATCATCATAATTACAAATGCTTTTTACTTTAAAGACGTTTATTTCTTTTCGTTCCACGAAACACAAGCTTTTTTTTATTGTTAGATATACAGATAAAATCAAAATCCATGTCCTGCAAAGAAAATGTAGTGCAAACCTCTTTTAGGTGGATGTACTCTAAGACGCAATGGATTACTGAGAGACGAAGAAGAAAGAGAAGACTTTAGTGAGTAGAAAAGAGAATAAAAGAACAGGGATCATGAAGACAGAAGATGGCGATTGACGTTGAACTTATATTTTTATGATTGCAGGCGACAAGGAATCAAAAAAAAAACCTGGAAGAGAGTCCCAGAGAAAAGGATCGTTTAGAATAGAACATACGGTTTCATCTGTCTATTTCAACAATAAAACGACGAGATGCAATAGCCGATCTAGCAGCACGCTTAAATCCACCCGTTCGAGGTAGCAAGGAGAGGGGAGAATTAAAAAAAAAATACCATGGAAATATTTGTAGAAAAGACGAAGGGAGACCAGGTCATGACAATGGGAAAGTGATGAATTGCCGAAATGCCAGATCAGGACCATTAACTTTGCATACCTTCCTTTAGAGTTTGTCGAGGATCTAGAGATATATATCCGCAACCTGAATCTAGTTATGTTGGGGCGCACCCACCTTCTCACTAGTAATGGACTGGTCCCTCTTATATAAGTCAGCTCTGGAGAGAGAGTGACAGAGCGTCAGAGAGAGAGTCAGCGTGAGCAGTCCAGATAAGCTTACCCGTTACATACCGTTGGACTATAGACTTTGGATATTGTTCGTACTAACCAACCTTCGTTCTACTAATCACTCTATTGTTAATTGCTTTTATGAATATACCAGTATTTTCCTCTACAACTGTGTTTGTCTTGATTCATACACCGACACGCGGGAAACTCACAACATCTCAACAAGTTATGACAGCAAAACTTGTCACAAAGTTCAGCAATCGATATTTCAAGCCACAGTAATGGGTCATAAACTTAAGCTATATATTACCCGATTGAATGGTAACTGGTTCGAAATCATATAAGCAAGATTCTAACCTGCCTGTCCTTCAAATGGAGAAAAACGCAACTGGCGAGATGGGTTTACATTCGAAATGATAGTTTTCACACCAACCTCAAACATCGGCGTTAAATACGTAACTATCGCAGCCGCAAGCTTATCTATTTATTGTCTTTAACTATTCTAATATGGCCGAGAAAGATATTTCTATCAGCATTATAATTAGAGGTATAGATAATTGAAAGTATAATTAGTGTTAATTGCAATTATTAGCAGTCTGTTTTAGTATTTATAAAATGAATTCATCATTTAACAGGATTGCTTTTAACGTTCGCCATGTTGAAAAATGGCTTATCCGGTACGAATAGACCGATGATTGTAAAATAGAATTATTTTTGCAATGATGGCCTTCACGCCTTCTTACCCGCTTTCCGTCAGATGTGCCGACGATGTAATGGATAGCGACTCGGAATGAGAAATACTGGTGCTTGAAATTTCAAGTGCTGAATTTTGGGAATATGGATGCCATATCTTGTCTGCTGCTCCGGCTGTACAGTGTATCCAAAAATAAAATTGACATCATTTTGTAGTCTAATAGCATAGCCAATTCTCGCTCAAATGATCTCAAAGTTGTCTGTGTGGATCAAAGATAATCTACTCGAAAGACGGATCAGGTGTACCAGTGATAATGACAATGTGCCGGATCCAAATGTAAACAAATGACGTCACACATCGTAAAATGAACAAAGTCCGACAATTGTTCGGATGCGTTTTGAGCAGATATGAATGTACGTGATAGATTCATGGGAGATTGAAGTTTAAATACAGTAAATTCGAGCTTGCTAACCGAACGCTCCTCTGTAGCCAAATCGGCTAAGTCACGTCAAGCTAAATGACGGTTCCGTAAAGGATACAGGTTCGAATCCTGCCGGAGGACGAATATTTTCTGTGAAAATTTCTCGGACATTCGGGCCGGTAAATGTTGTTTAATACTGTTTATTATAAACAGAGCATTTACCTAAATATTTGTATCTATAAAAAGAATGTATAAACATAAAAATGTCTTAAAATAATTGTCGGACTTTGTCCATTTCATAATGTGTGCCGTTATTTTTTTACATTTGATACGCCATGAGCAGATATGAATGTACGTGAGAGATTCATGGAAGATTGAAGTTTAAATACAGTAAATTCGATCTTGCTAACCGAACGCTCCTCTGTGGCCAAATGGGTAAAGGCACGTCAGGCTAAATGAAGGTTCCGTATAGGATAAAGGTTCGAATCCTGTCGGAGGAGGAATATTTTCTGTGAAAATTTCTCGGATATTCAGGCCGGTAAATGTTGTTTAATACTGTTTATTATAAACAGAGCATTTACTTAAATATTTGTATGTATAAAAAGAATGTATAAACATAAAAATGTCTTAAATCTATATATCTACGTATAATAAATAAAGAAAGAAATTTATCATAGGGTAAAGTATAAAATTAAAAATAAATCCAAACGCATCCCTCTAGAAACTAGTTTCAATATTACATTCCCTCCATTATCACAGATCATCAAAATTCGTTGGGAAACATTAAATCTTAAACCAAACCTAAAAACTTTGTTTGAGGAACCCGGCATTTTAGGATGTCGTAGACCAAATAACCTTAAGGATATCATAGGTAGTAACCAAATTCCAAACGATAACGTAATACGTAATAAGCCAAGAATAAAAACAATAGGGTTTTCCCAACCATGTAACAACAAAAGGAGCCTATGTTGTAATCACATTAAACACACCAATTCGTTCACTAGCTCAGTCACTAAAACTACTTTCAAAATCTACCACAACTCTTTCTGTAGAAGTCGTAACAGAATTTACTTATTAGAATGTACACTATGCCAGAAACAATATGTGGGGAAATTTGAATGACCCTTTCACTACAGAATTAATAATTATCAGAATCAGATTAAATCGGCTACCCAAGGAAAGATTATTACCTGTAGAACAACATTTCCGCCCAGAAAAACACGGTTTTAATAGCCATTCAAAATTCACTATTATTGATAGAATAGAAATAGACACAAAAGATAAACTTAGGAAATACTAGAAGAACATGAAGACAAATGGATTTTGCGCCTCAAAACACTTTGTCTGGATGGATTTAACAGCAAATTAAACAGCGCTGATAGAATTAATATATGATCTCTTAGATCATCCCCCCTATTTATCTCTAACACGTTATAATCTCTGCATAGTTGAATACGCACTACTGTTACTACATAGAACAGTACGCCACCCATAAAGGGCCCAAACTGACTCCCCTATACCCATTCATCCGTATCTACTCTAGGCAGACATTCTTGGACAGGGGATGAAGTCTCTCACATAAATATACTCGCACAAATATATACACATACACGCATCACATCACTCCAAAAATACTAAAAGGTAACATACACATAACAAATACATCCACAGCAACCAATAAAGCGGTCAAAATGACTGAGGTAAATATGAGACTCGTGAGTCTCCCAATCTCTTCTTAAAAGAACTTGAAAAAAAACACCTTTGATCCAAAAGGACTGACCAAAAATTAACTATAAATGAAAACTACAGGCAAAGTTCACTTTCTTCAGAGACAGTCATTCACCCCTGTAGTTCACTGCTACGAGCAAGCAGGAGTTTTTTTCTCCTGGTGATGGCCACGCTGGCCGAAACTAATCGAGGAAGTTACATAAAAAAAGCAAGAATATTAATATACAGCCCGGTGTGTCTGAAATTTTAATTTTTTTTAACATTTTTATTCTCAAACACACACACACACACACACACACACACACACACACATATATATATATATATATATATATAAAGATGACAATTACATTTCAATATATCAAGCAATACACGGATGAAATAATGAGTCAGACAATATGAAAGGAACTTACTTAAAGTAAATAGACAAAACTTGTCTATATTATTTAATGAAACATGCATTTCAATGAAAAATTGATGCCTAAACACACACTACATATACATATATATATATATGTGTGTGTGTGTGTGTGTGTGTGTGTGTGTGTGTGTATACCTCTGTGTTTGTGTATGTGTGTGTGTGATGTTTTTTTTTATTCATGGGTTATATGTTATCGTTGCGCGATTGTATGCCATGATAATAACTTGACTTAGTCTGCCAAGAATCCAAAAGTATGAGGCCTCCGCCAAGACTAGTTTATGTCGACCAAAACTATCTTGCTATTCCCTCCCAGACGGCAATGTACCTAATTTCATTCTGCACGGCATCAAGACACAAGTGTAAAGAATCTCATGAGGGAAGAACTCATTAAAATATTATGTGTGCATAAAATGTGCAAGCGATAAAGTAAACATTTTCAACTCTGTATTCAGTGTATATTGATTAATTGTTTGATCTGTGTTTTTTTACGGCTTATCAGCACTTTACAGGTTATTTAAAGCCAGAAAACATTTTTAGCTTCTAGCATTTTGCTTTTAGATAAGATACAAAGCGGTTTGTTTCTACCTTTCCCAAGAGTATCTGAGTGTAAATGAATATGCCAAACCCGACTTGAATTGGAACTACGACTCTACGATTTTCAATTCGGAGCCGTTATCCATTGCACCACCCACACATCCAAACTTACGGCACCTAGTTTCCCCCAGAAGTCACCCATCTAGGTACTGATCAGGTTCGACGTTGTTTATCTTCAGAGATCGTACGAAAACCGGTGTTTCAACGTGGTATGGTCTTAAGAGTAACTCAAAAATATGTTAGGATATGCCTATATCCTAACATATATAACACTCCTAATAATGGTCAGCGTGACTAGATAAGCTATGAGTCCAGGATAAAGTGTGACAGCTATTTATAATGTTTAGTGCGACAAGAAGACAGAAATATATGACACCCAGTGAGGTTCGACCTCACTACTACAGTCTGTGAGACTAGCTTGCTTCTGTATAATAAGTCGGCTCACACTATATCAGGGTTGATAACAAACTATTACATCTCATATTCAAAGTACTTTTTGAACCACAATCTTCTTTTTTATGTGTATACTTCCTATTTATTATTAGAGTGTGGGCGATGATGGCTCTCCACAACTTCCTATAATTTGTAACTTTAAGTAATGTTTGTTGCCTTATTATTCCTTCTAATTCCTGTTCTTTCAACCATTTCAGTCAGTTATGTGTCATGCGTGATACACGCTTAGGCGATCATGTATCTTTTGATATATGATTGACGGGGCAGATTTTTTTCCCGCAGTAGGTTGCCATTCCTTTCTGCGGTAGACCGGTCGCCATCCAAATCTATAGAACCCGCTCTATCCTGCTATTTACGTATAGCTGGGGAGAGAAGAAGAGGATTCATACCTTTTATTAGGTAGATTATTGTCTGTTCCCTCCTTACGTTCAACTTGTCTTTTGAGTGTCAAATTCTCTAAGCCCTATTTCCTCATTATTTGTCCCAGAAATTTCAACTGTCTCTTTCTGATAATAAGATTCAATTTCATTAAAACTTCCTTGTTGCTCACATGTTCCGTACATGATATTCTCAGCCTCGTTTTGTGGAAGTATAGCTCTGCTGCCTGAAGTCTCCTCTTCATCTGTGCGAAAATTGTCCAGCATTCCATACCATTTCAGTATACTGATATTGCATAGCATTTCAGCACTCTATTCCTTATTTCTAACGAAATTTTCCTGTTTCTTAATACTTTGTTTAGTTTTTTAAAGGCATCTTTGTGTACTGCTATATGACTTCAGATTGCGGTGTCACGTCTTCTGTCATCTATCAATACACTTCCCAGATAGTTAAATTTCTGCATTAGATTAATTTCGGCGTCTCCAACTCATAGCTCCTATCTTAGGCTGTTCCTCCTGCTAACAACTTTACATTCTTTCTTCTTACAATGGGTGCTTATTCCTTTCTTCCCACGCTCCAGTCCTGGGCATGACGATAAACTACACCCAGCAGCAAGGCCTCTGATTGTGAGATTGAACGTTTTGAGGAGCGTAGAACCAGCTTTTAATTGCTGTTGCTCCCAGTTCCACTCTGAGCCTGGGTGGTAGCACCTTTTTAGTGCCCCCGCTACGGGCAAATAATAAATCCCCTAAAACAAAAATTAATCGCTATGTCAGTAAAAAAAATGAATTGTTATAGTAAAATTACTGACAATACCTATTTGTAATAAAAATTAGCAACAATTTTTATTTATAGTATATATTTAGTTGAAGCCATAAAATTATTCAAAATATTTAGATTCGACATTAAATAACCCATAGAGGTGTTGATATACCGCGAAACAAAATCAACCAATCAAACAACCATCATGAAAAACTCATTCTTAACATTAACCTATGTAATATCCTAAAATTTCTTAAATCAAACTGTATTTTAAAATATAACTTCAACAAAAGTACAATATAAAACACACATATCAACGCCTCTAGTAATTATGTCCCCACAAATGATACATGTGAACAAAAGCTGAGTATCATCTACCATGTATTCAATTGTGAAAGCAGAATAACATATATCACATTTTTATTACTTCAAAACTCCCAAGAAAATTAAATTTCAGCATTAAATGACCCATGAGGAGTTGATATGCCGTTAACCAAACAAATCCCTGCCTCCCACCTAAAAAGAACAAGATCCTTTATTGCTATATCAGAACCCGAATACTCAGCGATCATTTTAAATATCTTAGAGTCATGTGAACGGATCGTATAATAGAAAGATATCTTTTTCTTATTGCTAGATATTTCTAACCTGTAAATGAGAAACAAATGACGCATGACCCTGTTCTGGATGGCCTTATGTCAGACTTTTATTAAATATTATTTCGTCCAAATGTCTCCATTCCAACAAAACGGCAGATGTGATTCTACCGGCATTGGACAGAAATTTTCTCTCTCTCTCTCTATCTATCTATCTATCTATCTCACTCTCTCTTTCTCCCCGCCTTTCTGTCTCTTTCTTTCTCTCTGTCTCTTTCTTTCTCTTTCTCTCTATCTATCTATCTATCTATCTATCTATCTATCTATCTATCTATCTATCTATCTATTTTTCTTTTTTCCTTGCCTTTCTGTCTCTTTCTTTCTCTCTGTCTCCCTTTTTTCTTTTCTATCTATCTATCTATCTATCTATCTATCTATCTATCTATCTATCTATCTATCTCTTTCTCCCCGCCTTTCTGTCTCTTTCTTTCTCTCTGTCTCCTTCTTTCTCTTTCTCTTTCTCTCTCTCTCTCTCTCTATCTATCTATCTATCTATCTATCTATCTATCTATCTATCTATCTATCTATCTATCTATCTATCTCTTTCTCCCCGCCTTTCTGTCTCTTTCTTTCTCTCTGTCTCCTTCTTTCTCTTTCTCTTTCTCTTTCTCTATCTATCTATCTATCTATCTATCTATCTATCTATCTATCTATCTCTTTCTCCCCGCCTTTCTGTCTCTTTCTTTCTCTTTCACTTTCTCTCTGTTTCTCAATGGATTTTACAAAAAAAAAAAAAAAAAAAAATAGAAAGAAAGAAAGAAAGAAAGAAAGAAAAGGAAAAGAAATCTACAATGGATTTTATTTACAATTTAAAATTCATCCTAAGATGCTTGGTGGGAAGATGTAAAAACTGGAATGGAATTAATAAGACGACGATGATGACTGTCTGAAGGTGCCCCACACCTAATTAAGTGTTTATTGTTTCCGCGAGTTGTAATGTGCGCACGAGACAAAATTGAAAAAGAATAACGTGGGTGGCGCCAATAACTCTATAGCCTTAATTCCATTCATCCCATGTTCGTTTTCCACATCCATATATATATATATATATATATATATATATATCAGATATTTGCTTTTCATATATGCGTGTGTGTATGTGCCAAAGTATATACACGCATATTTAATTATATTGTATATCTATACGTGCGTATATGTATTTTTATAATGACTGCTAATAAAGAAAAGAAAATCAACTGCAGATGAACAGAGAGGATAGATTTTTAAGGGGAGTCAGGGGAGAGGCATGCAATTTTGAACGCAACAACCGCGCGCGTATGGGAGAGAAAAAAAAATTAACGAAAGCAAATAACTGTTTTCCCATTTCATGAAATGCGCCACTCACCGACTGTAAAGTTTTTGAAATCCATCCGGGGGTTGCAGAGTTTACTTCCTCCATTTTTTGCTCTTCAGGTATCTCTCTTTTGAATATCATGCCTATTCTCAAGCCAGGACACAGAGGACAGCTGCATTTAAACAGTGCTCAAGTCGCATGCCTATTGTTTACGATCCTAGGGAGGTGACTGGTGGCAATATACAATCTCGATGGGAAATTTCGCGTTTCCATGCGCACAGTTGTCTGTTATTTCTAAGTATGGGTCAATCCGTCTCAATCTGCTTATACCTATCTATATATCTCTATATATCAATTTCCACAAATCAGTCTACGTTTGCTCAGAATATCTATCTATCTATCTATCTATCTATCTATCTATCTATCTATCTATCTATCTTAGTTAAGTTCTATCTCAGTGTAGTTCTATCTGTCTATCTATCTAGATAGCTAGCTCAATTTAGTTCAACCTATCTATCTATCTATCTATCTATCTATCTATCTATCTATCTATCTATCTATCTGTTTGTCTGTTTGTCTGTTTGTCTATCTCAATCTAGTTCTATCTATCTATCTATCTATCTATCTATCTATTGTAACCCATTGTGTTTTATGCCATTTGAGCAAGCAGGAATGTTCAACCTCCTCTGCCCACATGCTGTCTGTCTAACCAACCTCGTTTCCAGTTTAGGGAATCAGTTGTGTTATCGCTGACCCGACCAACTGGCAGGTAGTCCTGGGTTAGATCGTGCAAATTGCACTCGTAGAATGACCTGATATAAACCTTTGGGGAAGATCTCGTGAATTTCAATATTTCAACTTATTTTATGGTTTTTATTCTCTAAAACTGAGTATGGCAGTTATGACAGTAATATGATTCTACATATTTGTGTGTACGACATTTTTGCAATTAGTACCGCAGTCGGAAACCATCGCTTAACTAACATTATATCAATGTCTGTTTCCAGAATCTTTCACTGATCCCATGTCCTAATTTCTTCACGGGCATTCTTTCTTTCTTTCTTTCTTTCTTTCTTTCTTTCTTTCTTTCTTTCTTTCTTCTTTCATTTTCCCCCTTTCCTTTCCGTTCTTTTCCTCCTCTTTCCATTATTTTTTTTCCATTTTTTTTCTTTTTGTTTCTTTCTTTCCCTTCACATTTTGTCCTACTCTATCAATGGAGCGCGATGTACTGCAATGGATTTTATTTACCTATCTTGGGGAATCGAACTCCCCCAATTTTTTCGAACAGGAAGAGAGGTTATCCCTTGTTTTATGTTTAGAACTGAGTTCCCGGTTCCTTCTAAAGTCTTTTTTATATTTTCTTTCACTCCCAGTAGCCTCTTGCGTCTGAATGAGATTATCATCTTGCTTTATTATTCATCGATTAAAAAAAAGAATAGCCGAGTTCTAATTCCAGTTCGTTACAATCACTTACGCGCAAATACCCTTGGAAAAGGTATGAATCCATCTCAAAAGGCCCCAGCTAAGCTCTGTGAAGAGCGGGCTAAGCATCAATTGTAAGAAAACAGAATGTAAAGCTGTTAGCAGGAAGAACAACGCAAGATGCGAGCTATAAGTTGGGGATGCCCAAATTATGTATTATCAGACGACAGAAGACGTGACACCGAAATCCGA